GAGGGTGGGGGGCGACAAAAAAAAAAACGAGGCATATATAAAACGGTGACGATCTTCCCCCACCAACCTCTGCTTGGAGAGTATCTATGTAGTACTGGTCACTACATCAGTTTATGTGCCGGCTCGCCAGTTGCTAGAGGTTCTGGCTGTGCGCACCTGCTTGCACAAGTAACGTCTACCTTACCACATTCCAGACAGTCTAAGGTGTAAGTGTAAAGTACACGCAAGTCCCACGCTTTGGGCTTGATTAGTGTTTGAACAGAGACGCATACCACGACGATTAGGTCATTGTTAAAATGAGGAAGTGAAACTAAAACTTGGGGTATAAACAGGTAGCGCAGGTGCGCTCTACAACATAGTAACGCACTTCAGCTACGACAGAGGGGTAAGCTTACTACAGAACATATAGAAATAGTGACTGATTGACTTATTGATGCACTGCTATATACATTTGTAGTTATTTCAGAAGCAAAATCGATGGCTGTAGTCGAGACTGTATCAGTATGGAGTTGGTAGTGATGTGTTTGTGTGTGTGTGTGTGTGTGTGTGTGTGTGTGTGTGTGTGTGTGTGTGTGTGTGTGCTTTCTTCTTCAAGATCGATCACTAAATTTCAGGCAACATAAACGGCAACAACATGAGGCGTGGTGTTTAGGATGGTTGTACATGTGATCTCAAAATTTTAAACTTGATACGGTTTATAGCTTAGTACAGGGCTTTGGTTACAGTGTACAGTGTATATTTAACTCGTGCATTGTTGTCTATACTTCCCCATATTTGTTTGTCATATGTTCATTGGGTCATGCTATAGACCCGTATCTAGACCATTCGAGGCATGGGTTGTGCAATAAGGGTCTTTCATTAATGTTTAATAATTATCCAAACGCACGCGGTCATGGTCCATACGAATACAAACAATCGATGTTTGTTCTTGTCTTTGTGTAAGAGAACGCCGATTGGATAACTGAGATAGTAAATCTAGGGAGCCGGACAAAGACCTTGGGTTTCACAGGCTAGTAAAATCTTTGTTCGCTCCACACGTACAGACGTCTAGACATCAACTCCTGCAGTTAAATGTGCAAAGATTTGGGTGTAACAGGTCGGTCAGTGTAATATAACTAGCTGCCGCTGCGCTGGTGTGTTACGCCGAAGGGATACAGATACAGAAAAGCAGTTTCTCTTTTAAGTTTGCAGACAAAACATTGCCCCTCCGGAATTGGATGATAATGGCGACTGAAAGCGGCTGGGACACCGTATTTGCCGAACCAATTCGATGGAGGAGAAGCGAGGTGGTGAAGAAATGTTGGGACCACATCAAGGTTAAGTTGGCTAAAACAACGCTATTCGTTGTACATTGTATACGTAGTTCTATAGTTTATAATGAATTTGTAATAATTGCCTCATTAGGCTCAGACACTTACACTGCTCATGCAAATTTTCGTTACAAAGCTGTGTTGAATGAATGAAAGAATGAATTTTCATTCTGCATTTTCCATGTTTGAAAACTACCCATTTCCAGTCTACTAAAATAACGAAACAACTAGAAAGGCCAATATTTGCTTTGGAGCAAATACAGCGATGGGTTCACCACATTTTACCACATGGCAGGGAAAGAATGAGAAACACACTGAGGGAAAACAATGATTTACATTGATATAACTATAATATGAAGTAACATACAACTAAAACAACAGTTGGATAGCTATTCCCTACTTTATTGGTTAGGATTTTTAATTGCATAATGCAAACTGTTGATTTTCAAAATAAAAAAAAAAAACGTTCATGCCCCGCATTCCAATGCTGGAGCAGAAAAGCTTGAAATACATACCAAAACACTTGAATAAAGACATACTGTCAGTATGGAAATACTCTGTGCAGGTGTTAATCAAGTTAAATCCCAACAGCCAATCAGCAAGAAATGCTCTGTGCAGGTGGAAATGCTCAGTGTGCAGGTGTTAATCAAGTTAAATTCCAACAGCCAATCAGCAAGAAGTATAGAGGAAAGCTGCATGCCTATTGGTTGATGCCCTGCATTCCATTGTGATGACTCATACCCAGACGTGGTAAACATGGCACACTAACACAGTAATACATTAGCTATAATACAGCCAAAAAACTCAAATAAAACCATTCTAAAAGCCTGTATCACAAAAATTTAAAAAACGCCTAGGGGTATTTGCCCACTGTACCTCCATACCAAATTTCAGGACCTTAGGCCCTAAAATGAAGAAGCTGAATCCATTTAAAGATATGGCAGGAGGAGGAGGAGGAGAAGGAGAAGAAACATCAGAAAAAGCAATATGGTTTCACCACACCACTTCGTGGTGTGGTGAACCCATAAAAATAAACACACGTAAACTAAAAGAATGTACTATTTTCTCCAGTACACAATAGTGGCTGCGGCATGCATCATGGTGTTACTGTGGTTCACTCAAGGTCACCGCTACCTGTACAATGTCCTGTACGGGCCGTTCGTTCTCAGCGAACAGGAGATTCTGGATACACGACCAGAAAACATGTGGAAACAGTACATTCAGGTAACTAAGGCCTGGGAGACATTCATTGCCCAATGTTCATTGTTCTTGTCGTAAAGAGCTCGGGTGTAAAAATAATGCTATTACGCCTATTTACACCTGTCTTCTCACATGACCAATGAAAATACATTAGCTTAAACTGAATTGAAATCACTTAATTTTTAACAGAATACAATAGACATGTACATACAATGATACCTGCTGACTGCCGTTGTGCAGGTTCACCATGGCGCCGCTTTAGATCTTATCACCACCAAGGTCAACTGTGACAAGAGCCAGTGCAAACCCATGATCCTCCAGTTTAAGAAGCGCGCAACTCACAACAGAAACATCAACCAGCTCGTAGTCAAGAGGCCACTAACAAAGAACCATTATAGTTATTCCGTGCGACAACCGATCAACTTCAGCGTCATGTCTGTAAAAAGACTTATGACCATCATACGGACAATTGGCATGGAAAAAAGGGTTATCCCTGGCATGGAAAAATCAGAACTAGTTTCTATGATAACAAAGGCCTACGACTCAAACCCGAAAAAATTTAATCAGGCCACTGAGTCTCACGTTTTGGTCGGCTTTCTGACAGATTTTAGTGTTCTCGCTGTATACAAGAAACTGCAATATATGGATCTCATTTTAGATACAGTCACTCCATACACTGCCGTCATTTCTATCTCAAGCTTTTGTGCCCTTCTCTACGTATATTTTGCGATGAAGATAGTGTATTACACTTTCAAAATTGCTCAGACATGGGTGTCCTCTTCTCGTATCTTGACTTCGTTTGCATCAACTGAATTCCAAAAACAAATTCTTGAGCCACTGAGACACATTGTCCAGGCAGAGGGCCTGCAGGTGAACACTTTATATGTTCACGAGTTTGCTGCTCTGAAGCTGCAGGAAGAAATTCTTTCGGCGGAAGTCTCCAAAATCGTCAACGAAGAACATTTCAGGCTTTTTGTTACAAAGAAACAAGTGGTTTATCTCCGAAATGATGTTGTTGATGTGATTTCTGTGTCAGAAATTGACGAAATCAGAGTTAGGAGCGATAAGTGCCAAGTCCTCTGCTCCGGTAAGCCCAGGACCCTGAATATGAGTTCCCACCAGGCCAGTCATCTGAGAAATGTCCTCATGAGCCGGAGTGCCCAGTTCAGGCAGCTGGAGGAAGAGAGGATGGTACAGAGACAACAGGTCTGTACTGTAGTCTTCTATATAGATTACCGGTACCACTAAATAGATGTTAGATTTATCATTTTAGCTTTCAAGTAAGGGTATCTCCTACTTCCCATTTCAGTGTGCGTTGTGCTTTCGTTTCTGGTCAATTGTTGACAGATTATTAAGATACGATTGACGGTATATTTGTATGTGGAAAAGGTCGTTCTTGAGGAATGTATACTTCTCTCCTCGTAGGAAGAAGAAGAGCGACTGAGACGGCAAAAGGTAGAGTCTACATTGCGTTACTTTGATCCACTGAAATGAAAATATGGACAGTTAAACTGACGAATTGTTTTAGTGTCTTCATTTTCAAATGTTGCTGTTCATTTCAAGATGAGTCTTTGCGCGTTAGGATGTTTGTCCATAACTCTTGTTGGTTTCCCATTTTAGGAGGAAGAAGAAAACAGAAAGAGGGATGAGGTAAAATGGCTTCAGTCCAATAGAGATGTGATTCTAATTCTGTTGACTTGAAATCCCTTACTTCGATCCTCCGTTATCTTCTATTTCCCTATGTAGTTATGTAATAGGTTTTTAATTTGGCAGGTCGTTTTTACTAATCTGTATCAAGCAATAGAGATCAAGCTTAGAATTTGTTGTAATTTGTGTGTGATTTTCAGGCTGAACAGGAAGCCAGACGTCGCCGGCAGGAGGAAGAAACGATCAGACGCATCAACGAGTTTCTCGCTAGGCTGGCCGAAAGAGGTAGCTATACTAGTATACTAGTAGGTGTTAGTTTGCGGTTCTAATTATAACGGCAGCTTCTTTGCCTTTCAGTGTTTTTCACAGTTCTGAGTTCTGGATCGTAAAATCCAATCTGATCGAAACGTGGGCATGTCCTCGGAAATCTATGCAAAGATGCTCCTTGGTGACACACCAACTTGGTTCAATGTAGTATGCAGAATGTTTGTCAATAAAAGCATGATCCATAGAGATTATTGTTGTAAGGACAATAACAAAAAAAGTAGAGTTAATGGCTGTTTTTTCCACACACAGAGGGAGAACGCCCCGCCACAGAGGAAGTTGTGGAAGAAATGAAAGACAGCGCTTTCAAACTCAAGGTGGACAGCGAAGAGATCTGCGCCATTTGCCAAGATGGCATGAGGAAAGGTAGGAGTTTATTCTGACTACTCCACAATGTGATTCTATATCACAGCTATAGATTTTCCTTGCATAAGTGAGAGTTAGAGAGAATACATCCTGGTTATTTGCAGTGAACTCACAGATTTAGTAGGTTTGGTAAGAAAAGGAGATGATAAAGCTTCTCTCATCCGTGAATAGTTTCCTCGGGTTGCTAGGGTCTTTCTAGGGTCTAGGGTCTTTGATATGTACATACCGAATATTTAATCAGCATAATTATCTGCCATCATTTCTGTAGTAGTTCTTCTGACCGATGGAAATAATGACTGATTCTACTTCCAGTTGCAAACGCTAGGTGGCGCTGTAGTGGGAGGGATGCTGTCCCAAACGTAACAAAACATGTAACGTTATTTCCCCTTCTACTTGCACAGGAGAAAAGGTCATCCCGTTTCCCTGTCCGGCCGAGCACCAGTTCCATGAGGACTGCATGTTTCAGTTCCTGGCACACGGGAGTTCCTGTCCGCTGTGCCGCCATCAGGTCGAACACGATACCCCGGTGGATGAACACGCCCTCCTCGGCATCCTGCAGCTCCTGTTCACCTGACATAGCCGTGGTGCAAGACAACTCAATATTGGTTAGCAGCAACTTTAGGATCATGTATTTGTTTGAGTCTTTGTTTATTCATAAAATACTGAAATAGGCCTGCCGACCACTTTTCATGAGGTCATGGGGCAAGAAGAGGTCAGCGTCAGACAAAATATGCGAGTTACATGATTAAAATCATAACAAGTTTCTAAACATGTGTAACGTTAATTACATTATTTAGGTTCCATATAAATATGCTAGGTAGAATAGAAAGATTCAACAAGTGTTCCACAGCGGAACTACAAAAGATCAACTACAATTTTTCGCACTTATACCTTACAGGATTTCATTTCATTTCATTTCATTTATTGGTGATGCCAAACAACGCATTACAAGTGGGAGCCAGGCAGCCAAAGGCTGGTGGCGGCTGCCACTGGTACATACAGCACAACACAGGACAAGTCAATACAATATACAGGACCTAACAACAAGTTACGAATATCAAAATAGCAAAACATATCAATGCATTATACAATATCAAAGACACAACATCATCAAATTAATAAAGTAATCATAATAATATCTATAATCAAAAGTGGAAGGGAAAGATGGAACGGTTGGAAAGTCAGAAAAGTTAAAAAGTTGTTTAAAAGATTTGATCGCATAAGCTGAAGACAAAATTTACATCCATGTCTTTGTAGATGTAAAATCAAGTCAAGTGATTGAACCTGTAAATGTAACATCTGTGTCCATAATATCACCAGGGTCCATAATATCACCACCTTGATAAATATTGTGCTTAAAGATATTTTTATTGCAACATACCCTAGGTATGTACATTTGATGTGTGAAGGAGTGCATACCAAAAGTATGTTGCAGTAAAAATATCTTTAAGCACACTGTTTCTCAAGGTGGTGATATTATGGACCCTGGTGATATTATGGACACAGATGTTAATGGCTGTATCGAATTACAAATCAATTCAAGAGAGGCTACTGTCATTTGTTTGTAGTATCTATAAACTTTGTCACGCATATTGCACTTACTTTGTGTATACTATCCTATAGGTTCATAATATTTGCTTGTAGCAAACGTTTGCTGTGTATTTCTCGACCTTACTTGGTTTCGTGTGTGTGATGCAAAATAGGCATGATTATTTGTCAACGTTAGTTGAACTTGAAGACACTGTACATATATATAGTATAACTGTATTGAATACGAAGGGCCTTCTCTGTTTTTGTATATAATATTGAATACGACGGGCCTTCTCTGAAAGTTCACTGGTAATTCATTTTTGTTCTAATTGCGCCATCGACGATGTAATAGTAATCAATAAAATGTCTGGTTCTTGTTATTGAGTTTCCCTTTGCATTCATCAACGAATCCCAGGAGTTAATTACTTAGTATGTTTGGGAAACAACAATCCACCCCCATACGTTTATGGGCTCTCCCAAGGTCAATGACCTACAGTACAACACAACCGTTCCCACTTCCGGGTAATATCAAAACACTTTATATTAAATCTTCCGAAGCAAGCGGCCCACAGACACTCCCCTTCGGACACAGACTTCTCCCTTCGTCATAACATATGAAATCCCGGTGCTAGAATAACGTTTTGTAGGGTTTCATGATAGTGAGAACACGCAACTCTGCATCAAACTTACGTTGTGCACGGGTTGAAAATACCCGGACCTCGCCATGGTAAAACAACGTTTTTCAGTAGGCAATTAAGGGATAAAATAACGTTGCGGTAGGTTTTCTCTTACGTATATGGATGAAAGGGTCAAAATGAAGCTTTTTTTAAAAAAACAGTTTGGCCGTATCGATGCGATATAAACTTCCGCAACATAATGTTAGTCTTCCGGTGGGATTCCGCGCTGGGTCACAAAGTTCGAGGTCACAGCTGGACCACCTTCTTGGAACCTTCGAAGTTGCTAACAGAGCCAAAAATTAAAGTTTGAGGAAGTAATTTGCGACTCCCTGCTGTCTGCTCATAATCAGCTAAAAAAGCAACCTGATCTTCTTAATGTCAATGGCCCGGTTTTAGGCATGTCAGCAAGTACTCAGCTTTCTAAATGTGTACCAATGAAAACTCCTGAGTAGGTTTATAATGTTGCCATAGTCTAGTCTCCACCAGACTCCTTTTGCAGACTGGATAAATCGTACAAAGGCCAATTGGACCCTCTATGGCTGGGAAACTCCTCTGGCCAATTATATCCTCCTTTTAGGCCGATTTCTTTATTCAGCCTGCAAAAGGAGTCTGGTGAAGATTAGCTATAATCGATTTTCAAGGAGAAATCCCACAATGTAAACCAGTTTCCTTTCATAAAGTTTGCAGTCGCAGAGACTTTGTGTGACGCTAATAAATTGAGCCAGTGCGGGTACCTACATGTATAGTAGGTAACACGCAAGGGATCATGGCTAACACCGTTTCCTCCTAACTACTCCAGCATTGGCTGATTTTCATAGGCGAAAAATATAGAGCGGCAGCTGCCCCATCCAATAAAGACTATGAGGAAACAACGGGACAAAAACGATCACGTTTCTGCAAACACCAGCAAATCTTGAGTCGATCTGCAAATGCTGGCGGATATTGAGATTAGCCGAGAGGGATCAGGCTTCTGAGAAGGTAGCGGGGTTTTCCCAAACCGACCACATCCTGTCAGAGGGTGAACCTGGCCTATAAAAGTCGGGATGTGAGCGGGACGTTCAGTGCACGTATCCTGCGTCAACCCGACACGTCAGAGATCTAACCATGGCTTCCAAGGAGGCGATCTGCGAAGTTGCGCTGCTGGACCCACCGGTGAGTTAGTTATGCTGTTAACGGGACTTCATTTCGCATTAGGAGGGAGAAAGATTCGTTTCTCGGTGTTTTTATGTTCGCAGTTGAAACAACAATGGAAGACAGAATATACGTTCGCCGTATGTATGATGTTGCTAAATTTACAGGCGTTTCTGTGTGTATCGCATTTTCTGCCTCTGCGTACGAAAATGTGCGAAAGTATCTTTTTCTGATGAAGTTTACCTCATGAGATAAAAGTTCGTTCGTTGTTTCAGTGTGTACACGTACGCTTTCTTATTTGTTCCCTACAGGCGTACGAGAGAGGGTCTAAGAGCTCAGAGAAGACGAAGTGGGTGATCACGGCGCTGACGGTTGTGTTGGTGACAGGTCTGATCGTGGGAGGGCTGCTGGCGTCAGCACACCTGTGGAACAACCGCACGTCCGACACGCCTCACAAGGGCTCCGACAGCGGCCGTCAGGTGAGACGGAAAACACTCTGGACACTTCTGTTTTCATGGTGTTTTACATGTCAACATTTACAGCGTGGCTTGTACATAGCTTATGCTGCCTTGATCGATTGTAATAAATTAAGGAATGGCGCAGTCTGTTCTGTGTGTCACAATAGAAATACACGGAAACAATAAGCTCTTAAACTTTGTAATAAACGAAACCCCCTGTTCCCTGGCAGGTGCAGGTGTACGTGCGCGTGTACGAGGTGGACGGGCGGCGTGTGAGTGAACAGATCACCGTGGACCAGGAGAACCAGGTGGAGACGTTCCACGTGCCGCAGAACGGACAGTACCAGGCGGTCACCGTCAGGAAGGACTTCAAGCGGGTAGGCTGGTCTTCTCTTTACATCATCATCATTTTATCGACATTTTCCACCGGGAGGCGGTCTTTATCGTGCCCATGCTACCGGGTCTTTAAACAGTGTGCTAAAAACAAAATGTCACTTGGTTTTTTGTGTAGTAGACATCGGACACACCACCAGATTTTTTGTTGGAATGGGAAGACATGTAAGGCTATACTTCAAAGTACGACACTGACAATTATGCTTATCGGTTATAGGGAAACCCTATAAGTTCTCAAATGCCTATTTCTAAGTCGTCAATTGAAATACATCAGTTGCACTGTATTAACTTGTAAAAATCGCCGATAACCAAGTTTTCCGTTGTTGTTTCAGAACCTGGCTGTGTACAAGGATGACGATGACCGGGTTTGTTTCGTCCGTACCATGGACAACCCGCGGGAATTCACTCCGGACATTCTGGACAAGATGCTGACTACTACCAAGGGAGAAGTGGTAGGTCACTTTTTTTTAAATTTACAGTAGAGAGTTATTTAATCATTCCCACACCTTTCAGTGTAACGTAAGGACATGGCCCATTTAAGTTTTTCATGATGAGCCCTTCGGGCAAACCACTCCGAGAAGCGTAAAGGTGAAGTGACTTGACTGAAAACACGAGTCACAGCAGAACATCGCATTGCTACTAGCTCCTGGAAAAAGCATCGTACTACTCCCTTCATCCCAGTTGACTGCTGCTAACCTTTCCTTACGCCTCCCGTTTCCAGGCCGAGGAGTCGGCGGAGGACGACGTCCCAGCGGAGCAGCTGAGCGTGCTGGAGGCCGTGCCGGACCTGGGCAGCCTGGCTGGCGCCGACGCCGCCGACCTGTGCACCGGGTACTCCGTCCTGCGGGTCGGCCCGGCACAGGACGCCGCCCCCGCCGAGGGACACCAGAGGGTCCGCCGCCAGTACCGGGACGGGTTCACCTGGCTCCCGCCTACCTACACGTGGGGAGGCGGCCGTCACAGCATCAGTGGCACGGCTAACCCCTTCGCCGGGTCCGCCGGAGTCACCTACACATTCCGCTTCTAAATCGGACAAGCTGCTAGCCTAAATACACGTGTCACACTAGTAAGTGTACGTGGGATCATGTTTAATGCATTTTTTCTATGAAGAGTTTTGTAACACGACTATCATGTGGTGCACATACCTGTATGATAAATTTTCACATTTTCTACAAGCGGTCGACCTTATATGTTTTATACAGAGCAAAGTTATATTGTGATCCAGTCGTACCAATTCGTACCATTCAGATGTATTGCTATAGTTGAGTTGGTGGGCGAAACAAAGACCTGAAGAGTTATTAAGATGTTGCTCTTGGTTATGCTTTATTTGAATAAAAAAAGTATCCCCGAATGATCTTGTGTTTAATAGCATTTATCTCGTGTGTGTGAGGGTCATGTGTCTGTATCTGATGTGTGTACTTGTGTGTGCGTGTGTATGTATCTAAGTGAGTCTCACCTATGTGTGTTTGTATGTGTGTGAGTGGACATCCAACATTTTCTGAACAAAGGGAAACAAACTAAAATCTTAGGTCCAAACCATTTATTCCAAAACTCAAGAATGAACACAAAGACACAATCATATTCCATAGATGCTACACACACCTAGTCTGTGTAACACAAACTCTGCTCTCCACAGGTGTAATGCCCCCCCCCCCAATTAAAGGAGCCAGCAGAAGTTGGGCAGGTCACTATTGTGCCACTCAATCAGGCTACATACACAAATATATTGAAGTCCCAAACTGGCAAATGGGATGGAATAAAAGCATTATGTTGATGATCAGATCATGACAAGAAATATCTTGAAACCGACAATGAGAGGTGGCAAAACTTGCCAACACTACACAAGTCATTGTAATACCAACAAATAAATATGAAGCTATCTCTACTGTTAACCACAGTACTGTACACTGGTGTTTGTTCATGAATCAATTGTGCTTTCTAGAAAGACATGATACACGTATTGCAGCAATGGGAGTATCAAATACACGACTTCTGGTAAGGATATACATGCATGGGTCCTTTTTTTTACAAGTGGCAGTGATGTGGGTCTTGTTGCAAGACTATCTTCTCATTTGCAAAGTTTTCTGTCTGTATTACAGGTAGAGTATGTACAGTTGTATATTTGTTGTCCTATGGCTTCATATTGTCTATCATCTAATGCAGTGAACATTTCTGACAAATAGGACAGTACAGAGTAAGATAACATATTCCTACACAAATGGGCTTCCAATTCAAAACTCTCCACAGCAATGATCATTGGCTTCCTGCTGAACCCTTCAACTGCAAAAACAGAGCACAAATTTTACAGCCTTTTGAAAAAAGAAAAACATGGCTGATACAAAAAAGACACTGGCATTGCTGTCAAATCTTCAGCATACTTTCATTTTCAGTGTTTTATCTGTGTACCAGTACAAACTTCACAAAAAGGTAACTTATCAATATCACAAAACACCTCTAAAAATGCTTCTCAAATAACCATGAACTATATTCCAAAACAGCAACATCAAGTAAAGATGACCTGTCCTTCAAACTTAGTCAACCATCACATCTTCCCAAACCCTGCCAGCATGTCTGTACATATTACATCAATAGAACACATCATAATCATCATTGACAACATTCCGAAGACTAATAGTCACTCTATAAAGAATCCACATGGTAGGCATGTGAATTGTTACAAATTTTTGCCAATCAATTTGTGCAAATATTTTACATGACTTTGTGTAGTTACTTCTTCTGTAAGTTAACAAAATTTGAAAGATATTTTTTGTCTTTCCTTTTTCTTATTTTCACACAACCCATCACAATCCTTCCTACTGCCCATCTTCCAGTAAATACAGCTATTTTGTGTACATGTTCCTACTTTTTATTACACACTGAGTGGTTAGAAATGGACAACCACAGCTGGCAACCTGTGCAATAAATATGAAACCAATGACAACCAGTTCACATATACATCTATAATTCCTTCCATTTTCCATCTTCTTCTCTCAATCTACAATCATTATTTACACAGTGCTGAGAGATCATAAGATGTAGCACCTAAAAAGGTAGTTTTCAGGCAGAAGGGGGCAGTGGGTTGTTGATCCACTGTGTCTAGGGCACGGTATTGGAAGGTGGAGTCCATCCCTCTCCTTCTACCAATACCATGTAGCACCTACCCACATGCAAAAGTTGTTACCTACTGACAGTTGACTACTGTTAACCCCAGTTTTCTTAGTTCAGAAGCCTAACCCGAGAAAGTTGTTCTTGTTGCTTTGACCTGAGCTGAAACCTGAGCCATGTTTCTGTCATGCCTGAGAGAGTAGTTAAGTACTGGTGTAGACTTGTTACATGTACGTTAGTGCTAACACAGTTAAGCTATCAGAGAAAAGTCTACATATTTTTGATATTGTATGCCAGAGAAGATTAACTCTCCTTCCAGCTCCATAAAACACTATGTATGTTCAGAGAAGATGTTGCCAAATGGCTATATCACCATTTCTAAGAGACCACGATACTGTACATTCAGTTTCACTTTTGCAGCACCTAAACTCAGACTGATAAATACTAAGTTTGGTTCACACACGGTGTGATGCTCTAAGATGGGTAACTTCAAATTTCAACACTGGAAACTTTCAAATAAATATACATAAGAGAGGAAAGTGTGCCCTAAATTAGCTGACATGTAAACGTAACATGACACTTAGCAAGAAGTTGAAAATACAAAACTTACAGTTCATTATATTTCTAATTCTAAATTCAAAGAGTCGATTTCAGAAAAGTGTGTCTAAAGCCCAGAATTGTTAAAACAGTTTCCAGAATGTCTAGTCCACCTCGTCCAGGTCTGTACACTGTAAGGGTTTCTCGTATATGGGAACTTCCTCGTCATCATCACTGATGTTGTCCTGCACCTCACTGCTGCTGGAGGCTGACAGGGGGGTTCCCATCTCCTGGTCTTCTGTGCTCTCCTGTGGACAGTAAAATGGCAACTTTTGGTACAAAATATCTGGAACCATAGTAATAAAGGCTGAGAACTACTCTTCAAGATCCTACTCTGTGTCTATGCCTCATAACTGGCTGCCAGCTACGTACACACAATTTCTGCATAAGTATAAACCGCTTGCTTTGAGGCATCACACACACTGTGTACCAACATATCAGCATGTGTAGTGGTCTTGTTCATGTTACAGAAGTATTTGCCCTAAAATATGGGTCTAATAGCTAATCATTGCCTCCAATTTGCATTGCAAATGTGCACATCAGTATGCTTGGGTTAGGCAGTGATTAAAAGACATGACACTTTGGTCTGGAAGGTGGATTGCTAGAAACTAGGCTTCAGCAAAAATAAAGATCATCTCTAAATACCTGAGTAGATGTGTCCTCTGACTCTGACTTGTTGGCGTTGAGAGGTTTCTCAGGTGAACATGCATGGACATCCACCCCACGGCGCCGGTAGAACAGGAGGTATGCTGACGGCCTCATCACCTCCGTCTCGTGCACTGCACGTACGTGACTGTCGTCGAACAGGCGCCAGCCTAGGGCAGTCGGGAGGAAGAAAATTTTGAGAAAACTTTCTTTAGGATTTCAATGATTTACAATCTTCAGAGACATCAGATTACAGCTTTTTGCTCATGGCACTCCTGATAGACTTAAGTGTCTCTCCAATGCAAATACATAAAAATACCGGTATAGATGTGCATTGAACAAGTCATTATAATAAGTTTTTTAATCTACAAAGTTAGCCCTAACTCCTGCTGAAGCCTTCAGCACAATCTCATCTTACCACCTGAGCAAGTGAGCTGTCATGTACAAACACTCCAGTCCCCCTAAAGTCAAACTGATCCTTTTCGATCTTAAAACAAATGAAACAACAATGAAGTAAACTAGGACTGCACTGGTTTTCAAACTGTATATTTCTCCTCATCTTTCCATCTACTTAATTAATAAGCAGAATCTCACCAATAGCGTTGGAGCTTCCTGAGGCGTCGGGCAGCTGTGCGTAGGCCGTGTAATGTCCGCCCAGCAGGCCGCCATGGTGGTCCACGGTCGCGTACAGGTCGTAGATGGGCGGGGCCTCACCCGGTCCGATATCTGAGCCACAGTAGCCAGACATGTCCAAACCCCTGGGGAGGAGGTAATCATACATTGTATGGTGTTATGGGCACGATGCATTGCATAAATATGTATGCCATAAAGAAATCCTAGAAAACTAGTGTTAATATGAATGTCATAGAAGCTTACTCCTAGAAAACTAACATAAGTGGTAATGGTACCCATACTACCCATATGTAAACTCTCTTTGTCTCAGCACTACATACAACACTGTATACATCTCACCACTTACATTACTTCCAATCTTAAATGTATGAAATTAGAAAATGTTATTGAGATCACCTTGATAAGTGACTTCTTACAGCACACAGTACTTTATGTAAAAGAAGACTGTATGCCCCTTACGTGAGAGGGAACTGGACCATCTTGGTGATCTTGTCTCTCCAGATGAGGTTGCGGAAGGAGAAGCGTTTGAGCTGGATGATGAGTGTGTGGGGGAGACGCCACAGGGACATCTGCTTAGTGGCCTCACGGTGCTGCTTACAGCCTGGACAGTACCTGGGAGTCAGGGAAAGAGACAAGAAACATTGACATTTTCTAACAGCTATCAGAGTTTGTCTTACCATACTGGTGTATGGTCTTGCAACTAGTATGTATATATGGTCACAAGTGTATGATGCAGAAAACTATTGTGTAACGGCTATTCCGAGATCAGGGTGCGCCAATGGCATCGTGCATCGTTATGTCAATCTTACTCTGTATTTATCGCATTCTGTTGACATTTATCAAACTTGTTATACTAGTGCAGTTATTTTCCAGACAATCAGGAAGAGATTTGGTGTTAAGATGCTTAAAACTTATGCTATGGCCAATTTAAGACCAGAAATTGGCATAAAATCTATGTTATGCTGTTGCACTTGAAAAATGCCAGTTTTTGAAATATGCTTTTAAGTAATTTGGGAACAAAAAAATGGAATGAAAAGATTTGCAATATGTTCAGACATGCTCAGTCTGATATGTTTTGCAAAAAACCTGATGATGATTGGAAATTTCTCTTTTCTAGAGCGTATTTATCAATATGTTGTACACGTTATGTAAAATTCATAAATTAACACATTGCAACTAACTTATCTCCCTGTACTAAAAAGGATGGTGATAGAACTGGCCATTTTGTATGTTATGCAAGGTACATCCATATATGACACAAAACATGTGTTTTTATGTTGCTTGTCCTTTGGGTTAATATGGCTGATGGCTTACAGTTACCTGTCTTTTTTGTCCGAGAAAATGTGTAGTGTCCGTTGCTCGGTAATAACTTAAAATAGAAAAGCTGTGGGTGCATATGATTTCAGGTTTTGAAACAGCTGAAGATGCTGACTTAAAACACAGTAGCTATTTCAGTCTATTGCTGTAATTATATGAAATAATGTCAAAAAACCTCAAGGGTGTAGTGTCCGTTGCCATGTAGTGTCCGTTGCCAAGTATACCATATAGGTACATTAATTACATTTTGTTGCAATTTTGAAGTAATTTTTTCATTTATGTTATTTCTGTAGCATTTTGTCAACCCCTAAATGACAGGTCTTGCAAGATTTGGTGTTCTTGTCATGTACTTGAGCGGCCAGATGTGGCCGGCAACGGACACTACAGCTTAGCTGTAGTGTCCGTTGCCGGCCACATCTGAAATGAGTGGGCTAAAGTTTGGAAGAGCACAACTTTTGAACTGAACGTCTCTATCCAAAAATTTAAAAAGTGCAATGTATGGTAACACCTCTAGTGCGATTTTCTGCACTGAAAATAGAAAAATATAAAACTTGAAAAATTGGCCCAAGTGCAACCCTTTGGCGCACCCTGATCTCGGAATAGCCGTAAGGAATAAGAAAATATCAAATTTTAGCAAATGTCAGTCCAGGTGAACTCACCAGGCCTCCTCAGGGGCGAGTGTCTCAGGCTCTGTGAACAGCTGAAGACACTGCTGCAGGGTGATGGGGCCATCTGGGAGAAAACACACAATTTAGCATAAAACACTCATCCTTATTTACATTTCTATGTTTGCAAATGGCTTTGGGTCCATCTTTTTCATCATGGGTGGTATTCAACAACAACAACTGCAGATGGAAAGGAAGCATGACAGACTTACCTGAGGTAGGTGTGGAGTGGACACTTTCATCCTCTTCATACTCCTGGAAATACACAGACACAAGACTTTAAATTGGTAGCTATACTCATTCATGTACACTTCAGTTCTAAATCTACCTGAAATATTTTCTCACCAATCACCATCATAATCAGTCTCTCCGTATATTTATATATAGAGGACACATGGTACTAGTGCATAAGACAAGATGTTCCAACATTCTTAGGGGTGTTGAGAAATGAATGATCTTTGATGAAAACCTACCAGTTGTTTGGACTGCACCAGGACGTAGTTCTTGGACTTCTCGTGATTCCTCCAGTCCATGGCCAGATAGGTCAGGTCAGACAGGTCAAGGGCTGAGTTTCCTGAGACAACAACAGGTCTTGTCAACACCAAGTAGCAACCTAGTATGAGTGCATTACTGGGCTTTGGAACTGGCTAACTTGAAACTGCAAGTAACATATCCCCAAAGTTTTTGTCCAAACAAATTTTACCTGTGTGAGACTACCAGTGCACAACAACTACTCCTCTACTTGCTAGCCACTACAAACCCAAGAAGACTCAAAAGACAGGTGTTGGTCAGAAATGTTATGGAAAAGAGTTAAACAAGTTTCTACCTTAGCATGAAAGTTCATCTGTATTGGTATACTTCTTTATGACCAAAAAGGGTCTAAATGTTCTGGCCCTTTTGGTCAAGCTTCTACCTTGATCTTGTAGCCGCTCCCCTTCTGGTCCGACCTTGCCCTGACCCCTCTCGTTACAGGGTTTGAGGAAGAACGGTAGGATGTCCCTCTCCGGGGGCGGGTCCTGCGGCTGACCGTGTACGACGGCCATCTTTGGCTCCCCTTCCTTCGGCATGGTGACCTCGTCACTCTCCCCAGCATCGGTACCCTTCTCCTCCTCTGTGATTGGCTGTGGTTGGTTGTCGGGTGTGGCCAGGTCGTCGACCTTGTCCTCCGGGTTAACAGGAGAGGATGCCGGCTCCTCGGATGGTGCCGAGGACTCAGTACTGGAAGGTGTGTTCTTCTGTATGGGGGGCTGGAAGACATCCACAGAGTATCTGGGAGAACAATTAATGACAGCATAAAACAATGAGTTCAATTTTGCAATGCAACAAAATATGAGACAATGCTCTAATTAATTATTTTATACAATTACCAACCTTGCTTATATGACCTCAAGTTTACTTTACCTTGCGAAGGCTTCTAACATCTCACAGAGCCTGGAGAAGGTGGCCTGGGACTGGGGCAGGCTGATGATGAAGGGACAGCCGATGGGTTCAGGACTGTACTTACAGATGGCCTTGTGGGTGGGCCAGTGTTTCTTCTGACACTGCCTGCAGACAGAGAACCATTTCACATGTGAGGTTAGAATGCATAAGTGTTACTAGTGAAGAATTTTCAATATAAAAGCTTGCAATTTTGCAATTGGTGGTCCCTTAGACGATGTTAGGTTACTTTCCCAACTGACCCAAGCATTAAGAATCTTACAATATACATATAGTGGCTATAGCACTATCTTCTGTGTCCATTTTCTTCAAGTCCATTAAGTCACTATAGACAGGTTTGACTGTACCTGTACAGATTTTATCCCACGACTTACTGGTTCAATCAGGTTACTGGTTGCAGTTTCTAGCCTTGAAGCCTGGATGGGTGGTCCCTTACATTACTTTTTTCATATACTGACCCTAGCATTGAAAATGTCTATAGTGGCAACCTGTCTATTGTGACCATTGTCTTCCATTGGGTGGTAACTAAAGACTGTAGGTTTGACTGTAGCTGAAGATTGCTAAGATTCTCTCCCATGACTTACTGGTTGCAGTAGCCAGCCTTGAAGCACTTGGTGCACCTCTTCATGGAGGCTCCGTCAGGGCTGATCTTCTGACAGCTGGTACAGCGCGTGATGGGGGAGCGGTTCAGCGGCTGGAGACAGCGCTGCAGAACAGCAACCTCGTACACAGCCTCTCCTGCCTGGGGGGGGGGATACTGTCAATCTGGGAAGGCTGAGAATCAAGAGTTTGGGCAAGACTTGGGCTTCACAACTGATCAAGGCCTCTTTTGTAGTAAAACCACATCCAGGCCTTTTTTAATGAGGTGCACATGTATATACTACAGTGAAACACCTTCCAACAGGGAAACAAACTAGTAGTGCACTCCAAACTTTCCCCAAAAAGTCCTTATTTCGAATATGTGTACATAAAGGGGGAAAAACAGCAATAACTGCCTAGTTGCCTTCGACTGAAGGCTATGCCTTCGGAGAAGGTTATGAAATCGGGTTTGCACTGTTTGGCAGATTAGGCACGATAACTCTTGAAGGCAAGGTCCGAGGTTCACGATTTTTGGCAGGCAGGTTGATTTAGGGGTGGCCATTGTCAAGGCTAAAAATGGGCTTCGTGGGGGGTTCCTAAGTCACTGTAGTTGACCTTGGTTTTTGGTGTTTTTTCCTTGTCATCAAGATATCTCGAGAATCTTTAAATGGATGTTCATGTTTTTTAGTTGGCAAGTTACCATTGACAATACCAAGGTCAAGTTCGGATATGGGCTTCGTGGGGGGTCCCCACGTCATTGAATTAGAAAGTACTGCAGCGAAACTTCTGGTTTTTAAATCTCGTGATATGGACGTGCTAGGGTCATGATTTTTAGATGGTAGGTAGCTCTCGTGCTCAGAAAGAAGTGCCGTAAGTTCGGCCCGTAGCAGCTTGTTTGGGAAATACAGAGGCATTTGTTTGAAAATGTTTGAAGTAGGATAGCTCAAGAACCGGTTGACGGATTGTTGTTATTTTTGGTATCTCGGTAGCTTAAGTGATGCTTGACCTAATTAGATGACAATTATGCAAATCACGATCTAATTTACATAATGAATGACAAAAGTCTATAAATCTGCTGCCTTCCATAATAGAACAATTAAAATGGTGGCATATTTAATCAAGAGGAACATTAACAGATATTAATTATGTAAATTGTGACCCAATTTGATTACTTGATAAGAGAAATCTAAATGTCTTTCATACTGCAGTTACGTAGTGGGCTTTTGGTGATTGTTAGTTTTTCAGTAGTTGAAGCTGTAGAATAGGTAATTTTAAAAAAAATTTGTGAATAGGTTAAGGGGTTTAGATTGAGGGTTTAAAATTTGGAGTCTGTAGTAGGTTGTGAGTACGTGTAATAGCCTAAGGACATTTTGTTTGCACATCTTTAAAGTGTAGGCGAAGTCTTTGTCCTTTTATGTAGTTGGTTAAACTAACAACAGCATAGTTGGGTTAAGTAGGCTACGCTAACAATAGCACAGCAAGGGTGTAGAGTTGTTTGTTGAGATAACAGTAACCGTCAAGTGTTCCTTTAACAATCGAAGCTATCCAGGGAACAGTCCTGACAAGGTAGTACTGTAAATCAAAATAGGTTCAAGGTCAAGTGTTGGAAACTGCATAACAAGTGCCTGTTAAACTACATGTAATTAGTGGACGATGACACAGCCTTTAAAGTGCATGTATTTACTAGTACATGTATATGGTAAGTTTAACATTACTAGCTACATGTACGTGTGTAGTTTAAAAAGATGTGCGATATTTGAGCCACTTAAAGAATTATTTGTCGTCTTGCTTTTTTGGGCACAAAACCACATAGGAAGGTATTGTAGGACACTTCCACACCATTTCCAGGGTAAAGAGTTGTTTGTTGAAGCAACATAGGTGTTTGGAGTGTCTAGAAGGTTGTGGGTTTTCACATGCAGGCGTGTTGTTCTATGTAGTACATGTAGGTTAAGATAACAGATAGGGTGAACTAGGGTAAGATAACAATAACACTGGCAGGGTGTAGAGATGTTTGTTTGAACAGTACCAATGAAGTGTCCTATAATAACAAGAGTATCAGCTACTCTGAAAACAGCCCTGACAAGTTAGTACTGTATATCAAAATAGATTCAAGGTCAAGTGTGGGAAACCGCTTAAGAAATACATGGTATACAACTTTTTTGAGTACTAGTAAGTTGTAACTCATATGCAGGATTCAATGACGTTGTTGGATCGAGCTCAAAAGGTACAATTAATTTGCAAAGAAATATATATTTTCACTTAAGGTTCTTTAAATTGTATGTATGTTTACAAAATCTGGCTAATATATGCAGCCGTGGAAAACAGCGTTTTGGCGCATATTTTTAAACTACTCACGTCACTTTTCCCAAGCAAAAAGAGCTACATAAGCTTATTTTCCAAATTTTGTCACCCTAGCATGTCATGAGATTTCAAAACTGGAACTGGTCAACTACATGTATATTGTTTTTAATTATCTAGTATAAAGCGCATGCCATAATTGCATTTTGTTGGAGTTTCTACCATCTATGGAAGACTCTCCTACTCGCACGGTCGTCTTACGTATGGCAACTCTTTTTTGTGTTTTCTCTTGTGGACAAGATAACTCGAGAATCTTTAAATGGATGTTCATGTTTTTTAGTTGGCAAGTTACCATTGAAAATACCAAGTTCAAGTTCGGATATGGGGTTCGTGGGGGGTCCCCACGTCATTGAATTAGAACGTACTGCAGCGAAACTTCTGGTTTTTACATTTCGTGATATGGACGTGCTAGGGTCATGATTTTTAGATGGTAGGTAGCTCTTGTGCTCACAAAAAAGTGCCGTAAGTTTGCACCCCGTAGCAGCTTGTTTGGGAAATGCAGAGGCATTTGTTTGAAAATGTTTGAAGAAGGATAGCTCAAGAACCGGTTGACGGATTGTTGTTATTTTGGTATCTCGGTAGCTTAAGTGATGCTTGACCTAATTAGATGACAATTATGCAAATCACGATCTAATTTACATAATGAATGACAAAAGTCTATAAATCTGCTGCCTTCCATAATAGAACAATTAAAATGGTGGCATATTTAATCAAGAGGAACATTAACAGATATTAATTATGTAAATTGTGACCCAATTTGATTACTTGATAAGAGAAATCTAAATGTCTTTCATACTGCAGTTACGTAGTGGGCTTTTGGTGATTGTTAGTTTTTCAGTAGTTGAAGCTGTAGAATAGGAATTTTTAAAAAAAATTTGTGAATAGGTTAAGGGGTTTAGATTGAGGGTTTAAAATTTGGAGTCTGTAGTAGGTTGTGAGTACGTGTAATAGCCTAAGGACATTTTGTTTGCACATCTTTAAAGTGTAGGCGAAGTCTTTGTCCTTTTACGTAGTTGGTTAAACTAACAACAGCATAGTTGGGTTAAGTAGGTTACGCTAACAATAGCACAGCAAGGGTGTAGAGTTGTTTGTTGAGATAACAGTAACCGTCAAGTGTTCCTTTAACAATCGAAGCTATCCAGGAAACAGTCCTGACAAGGTAGTACTGTATATCAAATAGATTCAAGGTCAAGTGTGGAAACCGCATAAGAAATACATGGTATACAACTTTTTTGAGTACTAGTAAGTTGTAACTCATATGCAGGATTCAATGACGTTGTTGGATCGAGCTCAAAAGGTACAATTAATTTGCAAAGAAATATATATTTTCACTTAAGGTTCTTTAAATTGTATGTATGTTTACAAAATCTGGCTAATATATGCAGCCGTGGAAAACAGCGTTTTGGCGCATATTTTTAAACTACTCACGTCACTTTTCCCAAGCAAAAAGAGCTACATAAGCTTATTTTCCAAATTTTGTCACCCTAGCATGTCATGAGATTTCAAAACTGGAACTGGTCAACTACATGTATATTGTTTTTAATTATCTAGTATAAAGCGCATGCCATAATTGCATTTTGTTGGAGTTTCTACCATCTATGGAAGACTCTCCTACTCGCACGGTCGTCTTACGTATGGCAACTCTTTTTGTGTTTTCTCTTGTGGACAAGATAACTCGAGAATCTTTAAATGGATGTTCATGTTTTTTAGTTGGCAAGTTACCATTGAAAATACCAAGTTCAAGTTCGGATATGGGGTTCGTGGGGGGTCCCCACGTCATTGAATTAGAACGTACTGCAGCGAAACTTCTGGTTTTTACATTTCGTGATATGGACGTGCTAGGGTCATGATTTTTAGATGGTAGGTAGCTCTTGTGCTCACAAAAAAGTGCCGTAAGTTTGCACCCCGTAGCAGCTTGTTTGGGAAATGCAGAGGCATTTGTTTGAAAATGTTTGAAGAAGGATAGCTCAAGAACCGGTTGACGGATTGTTGTTATTTTTGGTATCTCGGTAGCTCAAGTGATGCTTGACCTAATTAGATGACGATTATGCAAATCATGATCTAATTTACATAATTAATGACAGAAGTCTATATATTTGCTGGGTTCTGTGATAAAACAATTAAAATGGTGATGAGGAAATGCTAGAATAGCCCTCTTTGTTTAAGATAAGACTGACTGGATGGAAAATATGATCAAAGGATATAATTGCAAGTGAGGATATTATTTCCATAATCAATGTGAAACATTCATAATTTGTCAGTCGTAAAGGTTAACATCATTTGTCGAAGGCATGAGATCTTGGAACTCTAGTTTTGTTGACTAGTTAGGGATTTAAACTTTCCACCTGACCAAAGATGCAACAGCACACAAAACCCTAGGCTATACCCCTTGATGACTGACCTGTTGTTGATCGAGCACCTCACACACCATGATGTGGTCGTTAGCCTGGACATTACTCAGGGTGTCTCCCCGATTGTACCAGAAGTGGATCCCGCTCTTGTACACCTCGAACACGCGCAGGTTCTGCGGCTTGGTGTCCGTCCTCCTCCCTATGGCCAACTTCAAGTCCTCTACAGCAGCATCCACAGCCAGCGGCACGGAAAACAACACCGGCTTGTTGGTCGGGTCCCTGGACTGGAAGTACACGGATATCGTTCTCTGCTTCTTGGGTAAGGGGACAGACAGGTAGGCAAACGGGTCAAAGGTTACGGAGACTTTAGAGCAGACGGGGCAGACGAGAGTGGACTTGAACTGCCCGTGGAAGAGATCCACCATGAAGGAGTCGTTTCTCTTCATGTACACGCGCCAGGCCTCGTCCGCCACCTCCCCGTCCGGCCTGCCGTCAGACTCCACCGTGGTGGTGTAGGGCTTGTCCTGGATCCGGTTCAAATCCTCATGCAGCCCGTCCAGCAGGAAGGCCAGGAACTCCTGGGCGTCGTGCTGGGCGAAACCCGTGAACTGGTGCGCTTTGGTCGCGATGATGCTCTTGAGGCGGGAGGGTGCATACGATGTTCGTGTGCCTGACCATAACGTGCGCAAGACGCAGGCAAAAGCAATGGCCAGCTTCCCTCCAGAACCTAGCACATTTTCTGTGTTCAAATCATCCTTGAATTTATTACCTGTGTAACAATAGGAAAAAAAAGACAGATGAGTATTCTATGTGACCCTCATGACTGTTAGACAAAAAAAAGGTAACTTGCTACAGCATGTAGTTCATAGTGATGTATGATGATTTTGTTGTGGATGCTAAACTTTTTTGTACATTTCATTTCACAACCTCCTTTCTGCAAGCCATTAAACCTCTCACCGAGTGCCTGTGAAGCTGGTATGTCATGCCTAAGGGCTGTTACACTGGCTATTACAATACTAGTATAGTCAGAGTCCTCCTTAGCCAAGACCTTGCCACCTACTCTGACAGAAGTCCCTGAGCTCCCTGGTGTTTGCCAGTGCCTGTAAGGTTGCGTTCATGAAGCATGTGTTGCCCAGGTTGTCCAGGCCGGTGAAGCCAGGCTCACATGTCTGCTCCATGTCTCCTGCAGCACCCCAGGAACCATGGGTCACCGGGGGGACCAGGCAGGTCGGCTTCTGTGGACAGGAAAAATCACATGATGTTATCAATGATCATATCATAATACATAGAGATGAGCTGTGCTTACAGTTTCCGTGAATAGCTTAATCAAACTGGCAAGTCAAAAGGGTCTTCTGCTTGATTTTTGCAAGGAATTTATTGCAGATGGAAATAGAATCTTTGCTGATTTGAGTCCAGGAGTCCATTTCAAACAAGTGTGGAAATTGAGGCTCTTGAATCACACATCTACCTGGCCTTTCACCATGCATTGTGGCTGTTCATTTTAAGCTTTTTGCTGTTACCTGGCTAAGTTTAGTAGGCGGTGGTGCAGGTGGTGGTGGGGGAGGTTTCTTGGTGCTGGTGGCTGTGGGCTGGCTGGCAGCTTCCTGAGACACTGTCCCAGCAGATGACAGGGGCTTCCAGTTAGACACACCACTGGCTGACGGTCCTTTGAAAGTAGAACAAGGAATGTCAAGATGCTTGTAGTAGCAAAGCTGCAAGTTGATAGCTACTAGTAATGAGACAGTATAGCATTTGCTAAATTTTTTTGTCTAGTTCATTGTTAAATTTAGATACTTTGCCCACCTGAACTAGTGTTAGATAAGGCTTCCAGCCTGGTCCACCTCCGACTGTCTGCCTTCTTCAGTGTGATGTCCAGGGTGGACTGTCCCACACGGTACACGCACTCCTCCGGCACGATACGATAGAACAGTCTGATGCTCCAACAGAAGACGGTCTGGGTGGTCGTCCCCTCGTGCAGGGCCAGGAACTTGCTGTCGCTGGTCTGGAAGTTGACCGTCAGAGCCTGGTCAGAGAACTGGATGTCCAGCGTGTCCTTGCAGACCTCCTTGGTGAAGACGTACAGGCACATCAGGTCCGACCCGCGCTCAAACCAGTCATGCCTCAGCTGCTGCAGGTGCACAAACCCCACACCTGCACCTGGACAGGTGCACAATTTGCATAATCAGACTTGGTATAAGCCAGGATATGGTGCAGTTAAACTTGTGACCAATTGTACGAAGTGTGTCATAGTTTAAATTTTATATGCTAACCACTGTCAAATACAGGTGTTAGAGAACTTTTCTAGTTACCTTCTGATTCTTCAACACCAAGCTTGGTGGGGCTATCTCTACCCCCATCTGCAACATGGTTTCTTCCATCTGACATCTCCATACTTTCTGTAGCATGGTGCCCATCCACATGGTTAGATACTGCCTCTGGTGGTGGAGGGTCCTGGTGCAGAAAAAAGGTAATAACGTAAAGTATGTAAGACTTTGTTTTCGCTCAGCATACAGAAATCATTACACATAGTGTCACACATCTTGAGAGAACATACTCATTGAACAATTCACTGGCAGAAGTTTACCTTTGCTGTTAAGGCAGGCCACTTCTTGTACTTCTCCTCCTTGTTGAAGGTGATGGCCATGAGTTCATCTGTACAGATGACCATGGGATCAGCTGCTTCTACTGCTGCATGGAAGGTACAGCTCCACGAGCGCCCATCTAGAAAGACGCCATACAACACATTAGCAGTGTTAGGTAAGGTTACTGGTCTAGCTTGGGTTAGTTGTGCATGGATGTCTTCTTCAAAAGTCACTTCTACCAACCAGTAGTGACTGTCAAATGGGCTGGTATCTCCAATGATAATATTCACAGACATGGTGAAGTTTTTGTGCATGTATTTGTATATCGGAATGTTTGTGTGTTTTAAGTCCAGTTATAAGTCTTTAGTGGCCATGCAAGGAACTTCACAAGGTCACAATTTAACATTTTGTGTGGTCATTCCACCAGGTCTGCAAGCAACTGAAAAGAAAATTGCCTTACCTGGCAAATTCAAGGTAACATCCTGTCCATCAGTGGTCAGGTTCACCTCAGATGACCTGACATTGCCGATGGGCAGGGTGACGGTCACTGTCTTCCCATCTTGTGACCACTTTGGGACAATCGGCTGGGCCTCTAGATCAGCACCTCCAGCTGTACAGTAGCAGAAAGTGAAAAGTTGAGTTTAGTATAAAGATTGGTATGTAAGACCTCAAAAATAATTTGCTTGTCAATCTCTTTATCTGTATCAAAATGTGTGAAAAATGTAACTACATGTTGTACTTTGCACATGATAATACAATTCAAATGTTGTTAATGAAAATTGAACTGCTGCTTAGTTGAAACAAAGAACACGAATATCAAAGGAAGTTGTCAATCCAGCACCGGAAGTAGGGCACATGAGTCAACGCCGTACTTTAAACACAAGGAATACAGCCATGTAACGAGAGCAGTTTGAAAAACAGTGTTCCCTTGTCCACTATGCAGTCCATATGTCAGACTGACGTAGACAGCAGCCGTGACCCCGACCCACATACAGACCCAGGCGCACCCCCCTCACAAATTCCTAATGGCTCAAGCCGGAGCCAACGAAAACAAAGGCAGCCCGTCTCAGATAGCCGGCTGGCGACTCTGAAACACGTGCACACACGAACAAATACCACCAACCTGCTTCTGCGGATGGTTCTGTGGAACCCTCTGCTCCTCCCCGTAGTTTCTTCATCGCCCCTTCCCCGTTGATATGCTCTGCTTCGGCGCTAGGAGCTGCGTTCTCTTCGGCCGGCGAACTCGCTCCTTTGTTCGAAGGATGGCGCAAAACCGTCATGCTGTCTCTGTCTGTCACTACTGGCGAGCGCTTACGTTTTCTGGCGACTTCCTGCGACCGATGGATCATAGAGCCATCTAAACAGCGCCCAACACCACACGGGATTGCTTTCTGTTTTCCAATGCCACAGAAAATGTCCCAAAAGTCTACTCTGTAAAAAAATTACTCCGAAATTTTTCGAGGTCTGGGATTTTCTATCCGATGTCCGCCATCTTGGATATTTATGATGGTGACCTCTGCCCCTGCATGCCTCCCAACACGTTTCGCAAGGGACAGAAACATTCTCATAAAGAAAAAAATTAGTCTTTTCACAAATTACATAATATGAAACGTTAGATCCGCTTTTCGAGAAAAATACCTCCAAAAATCAATCATTTTGAATGTCCCGCCACCCCCATGTTCTGACGTCATGTTTCAAGATGGAGGGCGAGCGGAGAGGTGAGATGTGAGGGATGGGTGGTTTTTGTATAGAATGCTGTCTTCTTACAGTAAGGGTGTTGTTTTCGGTACATTTTGGAGTAGCATTGTCACTGCTACAGTTCTTATGGCGCAGGAAATGACTGCTACGCACTGGCACCGTTCTGTGATAGTTAAATCTGCCACGCCTCTGGATCCGACTACAAAAATTTTGGATGTTTGAACCTCAAGTTCTCTTTTGCTTTTTCCTAGTGGGCGTTGATGTGAAAACCATCTACATTCACATTTGTTACCGCCTTGATCACTTGTGTTTCAGGAAATACCACGGGAATGCAGTTTGATTAAAATTGTTTCACTATATCCAACAAAATTAAACAAATATACATACAGTACGAGCAGTAAAGTAACGTTACTACAGTACTATATATGGACATCTTGAAAGCAAAAATACCAAGCATTTACAAATCAGTGTAAAATAGTTATGCTTACTTGCTTAAGGCTGTGCGTCGTTGTACATGGTCAGCATAGTAAGCAAAGCAAGTAAGAACATTAATGTTTTTGTCAGAATTTATCATTTATTTGGGGTTAAATAAATTAATATGTGAACACATGTAGTAGGAAGTGTTTATGAAATTTAGTAAAAGCATGTGTTGCTTAATTATGAGTAGCATCATTATGGGTTCACCACACCACGAAGTGGTGTGGTGAAACCATATTGCTTTTTCTGATGTTTCTTCTCCTTCTTCTCCTCCTTCTCCTGCCATTTTTTAAATGGATTCAGCTTCTTCATTTTAGGGCCCAAGGTCCTGAAATTTGGTATGGAGGTACAGTGGGCAAATACCCCTAGGCGTTTTTTAAATTATTGTGATACAGGCTTTTAGAATGGTTTTATTTGAGTTTTTTGGCTGTGTTATAGCAAATGTATTACTGTGTTAATGTGCCTTGTTTACCACGTTTGGGCATGAGTCATCACAATGGAATGCAGGGCATCAACCAATAGGCATGCAGCTTTCCTCTATACTTCTTGCTGATTGGCTGTTGGGATTTAACTTGATTAACACCTGCACAGAAGCATTTCCATACTGACAGTATGTCTGTATTCAAGTGTTTTGGTAGGTATTTCAAGCTTTCCTGCTCCAGCATTGGAATGCCGGGCATGGACGTTTTTTTATTTATTTTGAAAATCAACAGTTTGCATTATGCAATTAAAAATCCTAACCAATAAAGTAGGGAATAGCTATCCAACTGTTGTTTTAGTTGTATTTTACTTCATATTATAGTTATATCAATGTAAATCATTGTTTTCCCTTGTGTTTCTCATTCTTTCCCTGCCATGTCGTAAAATGTGGTGAACCCATCGCTGTATTTGCTCCAAAGCAAATATTGGCCTTTCTAGTTTATAATGTAATTCTTGCCCTTAGGTAACCTGGAGCTGGAAGGAGAGTTGGTGGAGAGGGGGGGACACGGGGACGGAGTCCGGAGAGCCATTCCTCTCAAACTCAGCAGTCACCACAGCAAGAGGACTGCCAGTGTCAGAGGTACAGCATAGCCTGGGTGCTTCTTGGTCTGTTTTCTGTGCCTCCCATACGTGTTGATAGGGTTCTTCATGTATGTATGGAGTATGGAAAACAAACTAGGATGACACCCAGGGTACGTCACGCAAGTGTAAATCATGATTGAATCATGTCAACTGCAGTCACATGGTCCTCATTAAAGATGGCACATTTACACCATCACAAATGTTATTATTTCAGAGCTGAAACCTTTAAGGTAAGACTAAGGCTCTGCTTGTGCAAGAAATACACAACTAGTAAAACTACTGGTAGAACTACTACTAGTACATTGTACATTTAAATGTTTCATCCTTTAAACCTGTTTGCCCTGCTCTTCGCTTGTCACAGATGACAGGGGATCCTCTTCTGAGAAGCACCACAGCCCCATGAAATGGGATGTCAAGGTAGGGGAAATCAGTTCCATGATTATTTTACTTTTACTAACATTACAAATCACTTTAGTTGCATATACACATGTATAATCATAGGCACAAGGAAATTAATGACATATACGGTCATTGACCGGTACCCATTCAGTGGTTACCCTTTTTAGCGCTTCCTGTTCTAGGTTAGAAATGTATACGTGTATATACTACATATATGCATTTGCATACTTTTGCATACTTGTACATGCTATAAACTATGAATTCTTTTGTCTGCAGATGAACCTGATTGGGAAGAAGATTAATGACCCCATGCTTCACCTGTGTGAGAAGTGTGTTTGTCCAGTCAACCTGTATGGCAGGATGGTAAGACACATGCCTAGCCCTTTTAACTATTGGTTCTTTTAGTTGTGCACTTTTAGTATTCCTTCTATCCCAGTAGATTTTGTTCATGATGTGCAGACTCTCATTAACAAACCAACTTTCTCTGTTTTCTAACTTCCAGATACCCTGCAAGCATGTCTTTTGTTTTGATTGCTCCAAGAGGACAGACAAAAACTGCTTGAGGTAAGCATATTTGAGTTGTTTGTAACTGCACAAAGTCAGTAATACATAAAGTCTGCTTTGTTGAGGTTTGTACTGTGTAAAATACATGTATTTAAAACCAACAGAAGAGTGTGACTGGTTTAGCATTCATCTTGTTTGTTCTGAATCCCTGCCGTGTTTCCTCTATTTGTAAGATGTGGAGACCCTGTACAGCGTATAGAGCAGTGCCCAAGAGGAGCCGTGTTCATGTGTACATTTGGTGATGGGAAGCACGGCAACAAGGGATGCAGGAGGACTTACCTGTCACAACGGGACCTTCAGGTGTGTTTTGTCCCTGCTTGTAACGGATTAGTGATATCCACAGTGTGCTCTGTAAAAGGCATGAGGACCCTTTTAAGATTTCTCATGCTGTTCTGTTATGGAGAAAGTTGCTTGATTTGAAAGTTAACACGAAGGATACTTAATCTTAATCTGTCATTTTCTACTAGCACTTTCTAGTTGCAGAAGTATCTTTGTTCTCCCTAGTGGTGACTATTTCCAACTTCTCCTTCTCAGGCTCACATCAACCACCGGCACAAGCGGCCTGCCGTGGCGGCTGAACCGACCCCGCACCAGACGTACCCAACAACGTACCAGCCTTACCCCACCTCCCAGGACCAGAGCACTGCCGTGTACAGACCTGTCCCAGGGGACCAGTATGCACCGCCGCCCCCACCCCCGCCTCCCCAGCCTGTGCCCCAGGGGATGGCCATGACACACGGGGCTCCCCTACAGCCCCCACCAGAACACAGGGACTACAGCAGGATGCCTCCTCACCACAGCATCCCCCCTCCAGGACACCCCCACGACGACAGGATGCACGAACCCCCTCCCC